GCCGCCTCCAGCTCTCAGCGCCTTGGTCGCCCAGGACAGAGAGGCTGTGCGCACCGGTGCCAGACCCATCGCCAGCCGCCCCTGGGCCAGTGGACTCTAAGAGTACCGCTCTCGAACCCAGCGTACCCCAAGATGAACGTCAGGAGGGTGGAAAGCATCTCGGCTCAGCTGGAGGAGGCGAGCTCCACAGGCGGTAGGATGAGATGGGCTTGCGATCCGGCGCCCCGCTGGCACTGTCCTTCCCTCTCAATGATCGGGTGCCCCTTCCACGCTGGGGGCGAAGGAGGGGGGACACACGCTTGTTGCCATCGCTGCATGAGAGAGTGAGGACCCAGACGGGCTTGGGAAATGGAGGTGGGAGCGGGGGCATGGGGGCGCCAAGGAGTGGGGGTGCATGCCAAGGTCTAGGAGGGAAAAAAATTGCTTGAAGTGTGTTTGAAACTCGCTGGTGGCAGGGTCCGCTGCGATCCCGTGCGTACTTTTTGCCTTCCCTGAAAATTTCTGAGGTTGTGTTTGCTTTTACCAGATGCCTTTCACAGGCACACTTCCTTTCCCTAACACCTGGGGATAAATGAGCCAAAATGGTGTTGATCCACCCCCTCTACACTTCCTTGATGCTCCAAACACTTCACTAGAACTCTATTTTGATCCCCTGGGTAATACACAGACGGGATGTTGCCCACGTCAGAGCCTTTTGCAGGCGCGCTTGTCTTGTTCTATTGCTACCTTCAGCTTAGTGTGTTTGGAGAAAATAGTCCTCAGTGACTCTTGGAAATAATTTTTAGATAGTACAGCCTTAGAAAGGTACTGGGCACTGTGCAAGGAGCGTAGCTCTCAGGGAAACATGCAGGAATAGGAACTGTTCTCTGAGTTTAGTAGGACCTAAAGCAGAATTGATGCCCTCCCACAAACCATCTTGGGTTCCACCAGTTTGTTTTTAGATGGCTTTGATGCATTCAGATTTTTTTTTTTTTTGAGGACCCTAAAGAGGATCAAGGTGGTTGTGAGGAAGATTATGTAAGGCTAGAAGTCACGTGTAGCTACCGTGTCATTTGGCTTTACAGGGTCAGAATGTGGCCTTAAGAACTATAAAGTTGTAAGTTTTTTTTTCCCCCATGCATTCTCTTTATTACTTGAGCAAACAGAGTCGCTTGAACAACTGCGTCCAGCACTCAGAAATGCATGGCCATAAGAAGAGGACATCTATCAGTACCTTCCCTCTGATAGCTAAGCTCCTTGGAGGCAGGGCAGTGCTTGTCTCACTTGAGTGTGAAATTTTAAAAAGTCTTGGTTCTTCATAGGTTCTGTTTTGGTCAGAATGACACTTCAGCGTCAGGGGCTGGTTGTAGGTTGAGCGTAAAGAAACTATCGTTGCAGTTTCTTCTGCCGTGATTGGGGTGATCAGCTCACTCTCATTCAGGAGAGCTTGTATGCTCAAGACTCAGGAGTGTGGTACAGCTGGGACAGGCTGCGGGGGCACAGTCCCTAGAATTGGTGGCTTACATTTGCCTCCTTAGTAGGAACGGCTCTTGACCTGGGCTTAGGCAGGAAGGTGGGGATTAAATGTACATGTCTACTCTCAGTCCAGTGTCCTGGTGGGTAGAATTTCTGTAAACAAAAAACACAAACGAAATCATATCTGAGGAATATGAAACAGTTAAAATATTAAAAATGGGAAATGCGATCTCAGCTCCAGCATCAACAGTAATGATTTCTCGGAGGCTAGAAAGATGTTGATTATATCTTGGCTAAGATGAGGATCGAAGCAAAAATTTAACACTTGCATCTTTACTTTCTTGCAAACATTTGTAGGTAATTAATGTGTGATGATAATAGGGAACGTCACTCCTGTTCTCACTGGTCCTGTTCTAGGGCAAGACTAGAGGTGACTGCACATGCTTTTTTAGCACTTTGGTGATCTCTGCTCAAACTTGTAATTGCCATGGCGAGAAATGGATGACTGTCAATTTGAAAGGTTATACGTTTGGGCTTAAAAACTATCTCTAGCCTCTTGTTTCCTCTTCAATAAGTGGAGTTTGGTTTTCCACTCAAACATACACTCATGGACTTGGGAATTATAAAAGGATCCATTCACACAGTAACAGGACTATCTGAGAGAGTAATGAAAATATTCAAATTGGAGAGCTTTCTCTCTGTGTCTTTCCTATGTGTGTTTGTGTATTATGACTTTATTTGGAGGCAAAACTCTACAAATGCTCGTTGGAGAGGTAATGGAGCCTACCATGCACACACACTCGATGTGGCAAATAGGGGGAAAACCTCAGATATGGTAGCAAAGAGTTTGAATATGTTACAAAAACTTTCACCCTTACACTTTTCAACACATAAAAGCATTTAGTGTGCATTCATGCACTGCCTTTGAGGTCACTGGAGCTGACCATGGGAATGTTACAGACCACAGAATACTGATGGTGTAGGGCATAATAGACTTTGACACTCGTCAAAATCCATGTTAGTCTCAAAAACTATACCAATATGTTTTGCATTCTATCAGCTAGGTCCATTATTCTGATACTCTGTTGTAAAAACTCAACACAATTCTACTACATGTATGTGTGTGTGTGTGTGTGTGTGTGTGTGTGAGAGAGAGAGAGAGAGAGAGAGAGAGAGAGAGAAGAGATTTCAATCAGATATGTAAAAGAATCTGAAAGAAGGTCAGAGAAAAAAGCCTTATGAAATTATTCATTGGTTCCCTTAATTTGTGTCATCTACCTTAGGGATGGCAGATGTTATCTGATGTAATCTACAGTAAAAGTGGGGAGAAGGATCCATGTTTCAGCAGTAGTGAGAAAAATTGCTGGCATTTTGAATCATGAATTGATGGATGTTTTGTGGCTTCAACTAAAGTTCTGTGTTTATTAAGGTTCAAGGAAAGTCAAATTAGCAATTCCCCGTGAGTAATAGTCAAAAATCCATTTATTCTGAACCTTAGAAAAGCTTTTCACTGTGTAAGATATTCTACTTTCTCTGTGTCACACAGATGAAAAGACATATTCAATAAATATTGTGAAAAATGACAATTCAGAGACGCCCATTTGCTTTCCTTATGTGCCATACATTTTTTTTTTTCCTTTTCTGGCTGATGTTTACACCCTCATTCATAAAATAAGGACATAACTGTTTTGGCCATTAATGAACCATGCAAGATAAAATATGTGTTCAATATTTCTGAAGAATTTTAGAGCAGATAGTGGTTGTTTTGTTTTGAAAATATATTTCAGGACAATACACACTCTTTCTTATTCATTTTTGTCATTTTGTTTTCCTTGTTCTTGGTGGTTCTCATAACACGTGGATAATATTGCTTTTCATTATTTCATAGCACATTGACTTGTTTATCCAATAGCTCTCCTCTTTAGAGACCGTTTTCAAACATGTGTGAGAGAGAGAGAGAGAGAGAGAAAGAGAGAGAGAGAGGAAGAGAGAGAGAGAGAGAGAGAGAGAGAGAGAGAGAGAGAGATTCAGAGAGTCAGAGAGAGGTGGAAAAGAGAGAAGAGATGAAGAATAAAGACTTGAGTATTATTTGTTCAGTAGGCCCTTACTATCCTCAAAATGTCTTAAGGTTGTTCAACCGAGTTCTTTGCTATAATTTTTTTTTTTTTATCGTTGAGCACTGAATCACCCTTTTATTTTTCAAAATGGCTCATTTGGTTAAAGGTCCTAATGCCTCTGCTACATCCTCCTGAATTCCCTGTGGTATTTCCTTTGCTCACCAAATGCTCCTTTGCTGACTATGGTCTCTGGGTGAACTGAGCCATTGATTCCTGGTTATCACTTCACTTCCTAACATCTAGATTCAGGACTCACATATCAGTATATCTCAATATACTGATGATGACATCATATCTGATGATGACAGCATTCTTCTCCACGGCTGTCTGTGGGATGAAATTAATTTGTACCCTCTCAGACTCCTGGTAAGTCTTTTTATGACCCCTACTTCTTTTTAACATTCTTTGCAACTTTCACCAAGTTCTCTTTTGATCATCTTTCTTCTGTGTACTCGCCTCTTAAGCAAATGGCTATTTTAATTTCTCCTGTGATGTGAAAGTCTCCCTGCGCACTGTCTAGCCCAGTGCTCTTCCCGAGTGCTAGACAGACATTTTCATTGCTAGGATTTCAGACCCATCAGCAGGTTTTAGTAGCATTGTAAAGTAAAAACCTAAAGTGTGCTAGAAAATACATATTCTGTTCCTTAAAAACAAGTTATTTTTCAAATGGTGGAAGCATTATTTAAGACACACAGTTTGAAACTGTCTGAAGCAGACCCTTCTCTATGAACTTTCCATCTCTGTTGAATCAGCCACTAGTGTTCATTTACTTGTGTTTCTCCCCTCGGTTTCCTCTCTACAACCTACTACTAAGTCCCTAGCACCGTTTCCAGGCCGCTACGCTTGAATCCTCTTTCCTCACCATCTCCCACTTAAAGTCTACTGTATTTACTAACCCTTGATTTACGTCTTATTATCCTGCAGAATATATTTCAGTACCTTCCTTTGACCCAACTATTAGAAGGAAACCTGTGGTAGTTTCAGATTGGTGTTAAAGGCTCTCACGATAAGGTGCTCATCTTCTGTTTCTACATTTTCTCCTACAGTTCTTTCGGGTTTATGCTTTGGTATAGGTGGCTGGATTTCTCCCTAGTTCCCAAACATGCTTTGTGTTTTTCTGCTGTTTAGGATTAACTTCCTCCCCTGACATTGCTTGGTGATCATCTTCAATCTCTCCCGACTCGTCTCCATTGCTGTCTTGTGCAACTCCATTGTTTTGTCCCTGCTTCCCACTACTAAGAAGTGCTCTTTGCCTTTGTTTATGTAGCTTTCCTTATATTTTGGTCTGAAACTGAGCAAAGTAGAATAAACTTGGCATTTAACATCATTTGCAGCTATTGAATTGTCGTTGCTCATTAGCATATATCCTACACAAGGTACTCGTGTTTATCCTTTTAGTTAATATTGACATGATGATTCGCAAACTAATAAGTGCCTAAAGGACATTTACTGAACTTAAATCCTGTTGCTTCATGACAGACCTATGAAAGAACTTGAATTTCAATTAATATTTGGATGCTTGCTAAGCCCTCTTTAGAAATTGACATTCTTTGGCTTCAGACCTCTCTATTCATCAGATAATGTCTCTGAGTTTGGAAATACAGCATCAAGATCATACTTC